CAAAACAGCCTAGATTGAATGCGATACGAGACGAGAATGGCTGTATCCTGAATGATGAAGTGTTGAGTCTAAAGAGATGGAAGGAATATTTTGAAAGCGTATTTATGAGTGAGGAGAAGTGTGAACTAAATGAAATAGAAATTCCGAAAGAAGATGAAAGAGATAGGGAGATAACTATAGATGAAATAATGAACACAATGAAAAGCATGAAAGTAGGTAAGGCAGCCGGATACGATAGAGTTTCACTCGAAATGCTAAGGGCTGGAGAGGACGTGGTGGCATGCCTGCTGTACACCTTGTTTAATTTATGTTGGGAACTAAAGCGGGTACCGGGAGACTGGTGCAAAGCCGTGATAGTCCCAATATATAAGGGAAAAGGGTCACAGCAGGACGAAAATACCGTGGTATCAGCCTTCTTAGCATTGTGGGAAAACTGTATGCTAAGGTACTAATTGAAAGAGTTATGAAAGAAACTGATGAAAACATTTGGGATGTGCAAGCGGGATTTAGAAAGGGAATGGGGTGTACAGATCAAGTCTTTTCCATGCGCATGATCGCGGAGAAGTTTTTGGCGAAAAACCAAAAAGTTTTTTGTGCGTTCATGGACTTGGACAAGGCTTATGACAGAGTGGACAGGGATGTGTTATGGCAAACGAAGGCTGAGCGCTGGTTTGATACAGGCATTAAAGTCTCTGTATAGGGACTCGAGTGGTTGTGTTAGAATCAACGGGGTCTACTCGGACTGGTTTGGCATCCATAAAGGTGTCAGACAGGGCTGTGTAGCTTCCCCGTGGCTGTTCAACCTATTTATGGACAGCTGTTTGGAAAATTTGAAAGTTGAAGAATGCGGGTTAAGAATGGGTGAGTTAACCATCAAATGCCTTTTGTACGCCGATGATCAAGTCATACTTGCGTCGTCGGCGGCCGAGTTGCAAATGATGGTTACATTAATGAACAGGTCATTAAAAGAAAGGGGAATGAAAGTGAACGCAAGTAAGGCGAATGTGATGGTTTTTGAAAGAGAAGAAAGCAAAACGGTATGTGAAATAAGAATAGAAGAAGAGTTAATTGAGCAAGTGGATGAGTTCATATATTTGGGATGTGTATTCAGCAGGGATGGGAGATATGACAAGGACATTGAACGACGAGTGAGTGCAGGAAATAAAGTAAATGGGGCTCTACACTCTATTGTGAAAAGTCAGAATTTGTGACAAAAAAGGCACGTATGGCAATTCACAATGCTGTATTAGTCCCTACTTTAACGTATGGTAGTGAAAGTTGGGTGTGGCAGAAGAAGCACGAGAGTAGAATAAATGCAGTAGAAATGCGGTCGCTAAGGACTGTGTGATAAAAGAAGAGTGTGGTTTGCAAGATGATGCGGTGACCAGGATTAAGAAAGGAATGCTTCGTTGGTTTGGTCATGTAGAAAGAATGAACGCGGAAAGACTGACAAAGCAAATATATATTGCAGAAGTGAATGGAAAAGTCGTAAAGGGACGTCCTAGGCGGAAGTTTGCCGACCAAATTGGCGATATACTAAAAATGGGCCAAATTAAGAGTACCCTTAACCGACGAGCATGCGTAGGTATATGGATGTGGAAGAGGCGAGAAAGGTATGTCAGGATCGTGCTAAATGGAAGTCTGTAGTTTCTGCCTACCCCTCTGGGTGACAGGCGTGAGTGTTTATGTATATATGTTTATGTTTTAACTTTATTTATTTTATATACACGTGCACCTACCTCGAACAATTGGATTTTTGTTTACCTTTGATCGGTTGGCTCCATTTTCAATATCTTCCTTTCCCAAGTACATAATCAAATTATTACCACGCAGATACGTATTAAATTTATTTGTAGTCGTTTTGGATACAATTATTTGATTTTCCACTAAACATATTTAATTTTTACAACAAAAATTATAAAAACACACCGTGATGGCTGGCCACAAAAAAACGCAATGAAGTTGCATTGACGGACGGGTTGATACAGAGTTGCCAGATATACTGCTTTAAAAATTTTTTTAGCGAGCTTGGATAAATTGTGATGCTGGCGTGGAATGCGGCGTTCTACAATTGTTAAGAATGTCTAGGACAAGGAGGGAGTATAATTACGGATTATATCTCGTTTAATACTTTGCTTTGCTGCGTAGATGCGTCAAAAAATAATGTTTAAAAACTGAAGGTAGCCGAGCTACCTATGACAGGGATGTCGAACACCTCAGTGCCCCCCCTCCCCTCCCCCCCCCCCGTCACCATGGGAATTCTAAAGCACCCGAAACATTGGGAATTAAAAAGTTAAATTAAACGCGATAAAATCAAGTTTTAGCCAAAGACTGACAAGAAAAATCAATTCTTAAAAAACTTCCCTACATTGCTTTCGAAACATGTACTTAAAATTGCATTTGCATGCATTACACTGCGTTATTGTAACATCAATTCAAGGCAAGAGATAAATTAATATATTAGTTACTTAACAATTAATTTTTAGTAAACATAATTATAATATAGAATCTATGTTCAACAGTGAGGTTGAAAGGCTGTAATGGTAAAAATTGAATTATCGTAACAAAAAATTCAAAATATTAAAATGAATTTCAAGAAATTTTGTAAATATAAAAAATTTATTACTTAAGCTCTCAATTAATCAGACTTGTGAGTATCGAAAATGGTCTGGTAATGGATATGAAGTAAAAGTATTGAATGAAAGATCAGCAATCGCAAATTTCCTCGTTTTGAAACGTCTCTTGTCGCAGGCGTCTGTAGATCGGCCGGGGAACACTGAATCTAGGACACGGTGCGAGTTATTTCGGGGCCCGAATCGGAACAGCCCGTAAACATTGGGTTTTTCGAGTCACACGCGGGTTGAAATTAGGCAGAGTTTTCCCGCTACATCTGCGTCTAAATGCTTTGACGGAATGACCTTTGTATCGGTGGGCGAAAAACCGGGTGGGAATTAAATGAACGTGAAGATTTAGCAATGAAATTTATACATTTATGGGCTGAATTTTGTATTTTAATTTCAATTTCAATTACACTTTGTTTATTAGTCACGATAGTGGTCGGTTATTGTTATGCTGCAATAAAAGTTAATTTTAAGGCTTATTCTTTTGTACTCGTTTCGATATTTAACATGACTGATGTTAAGAGTGAGGGTAGATTTCTAATAATAACCGCAGTCGTACAAGCAGTATAAAGAACTGAGCAGACAACTACCGAGGGTCATTCGTTGTCAATTGTCGTCATGCTATCCGTCGTGGTAATACTTATTAATGTATTTTTATTTTTTAATATATATCTTTTAAGATTAATTTTGGCGCCCCCTTGCGTAGAAATTAATTATTATTAACACTAGTTATTTTACCAGGTGGCAGGACTTGTTTTCTGACTAGGAGTCCGTCGGGTAGGTGCCACCCTCTATCTGTTTCTGCAGCCAAATAGCGTAGCAGTGTATAGAGAGCCAGTATAATTACAGGTTGTAACATTTCATCTTAGCCGTTCGGGTGTGACAACGCATCTGTAGCCTTTTGTAGCATTTTGCATCTGTAGCCACGGACACCTGCAGCCAACACACACACACACACACACACACACACACACACACACACACACACACACACATTATAAGCACTGACCTCGGTATCTCATATATATGAGATACCGAGGCCAGTACTTTGATATAAAATTAACCGACTGCCGCGATCTTTTGAACTGTATTATGACACGTTAAGCCTGGCATCAAATCAGTACGCGGTTGAGAAAAATGTTAATTTGTTTATTGCAAGCGTTATATTATTATTACTAAGTGTCACAATGCAATAAGGAAGTATCGAACGTAACCTCGCACTACACGCTAAAATTCACTGAGTAATTTAGATACTTGTTGGTTTAAAGGAACAGACAAATATACAACCATAGATAAACACTTAAAACCAAAAGTGTTTTCTTTCTCCTGGTTTTTAACCAACTTAGATTTCATTAAATTTAAAGAAAACAAGTTTTTACGGATTTTATCGTTTTTATTGTAGATAATATACGCGATGAAATCCGTGAAGACTAGTTTTATATAAAGGTGTAGTGTTCGCGTAAATATAAGTTCATTCATAAAATTTAATTTTTAGTTCATTTGTATAACCTATAAATAGAATTTTTGTCAAAAATTAAGTGAACTGCAAGTTAACCAAACATACATAAATTATATGACTCTATGAGAGTACGGATTCATTTGAAGTTTTTGGAATGATCTTTACTCAAATATCTCGCTTTTTTTACATTAATATAGTCTATCTTCAATATATGGACAATTATGTCGATTTTAAACTTCCATCTATGGTGTTCCTTGCCGACTTTACTACTCACTTCTGCAGAATAAATTTGCTTTAATATTTATTCCTCAATCATTCGTTCATTTAAATGGCATACTTTTACGTGCCCAAACCACCGAAGCGTTTCTTGGTAAATCCTGATCATTACATTTTCTTAAAAACTTGCAAAGTATTCTTGTATGTACAATAAGTATTCCATGCTATTACCAAAATTACTGAACTCCTTATAACGATAGATTACAATGCAATTTAAAAAAACTGAGTGTAAAACGAACTTACAACCTACCTGATGGTCAGTGACTTCTGCAGTATATAGATACCGCAAACAATTTAACAATAAAGGGTTTTGATTTTTTGATTTTCGTCTCCGAGGACTAAGTTGCAATATTTAAATCCTAATTGTGGCTGAATTGAATTTCCTTAAACATTTTAAGATTTATATTGATCTTCAAAAAGTATTTTCTCAAATTACTTTCTTTTATGCGTTGAGGACTAAGATTCCCACCCAGCATAACAGAGCAACATTAGTATGTGGATTGCTGTTTCGTTAGAAGAAAAGTTTCTTATTAATCTATCTTATTTACCCATAGAATAAACAGTATTATAATACATATATTATATTATCTAAATACGCTTTGAAACCAAAATGGAGGATTTGTCGGTCGAGGTGTACGGTGAAAATGGTGCTCATTACAAGGCCATTGTCACCGACGTACTCGACAACCTTTGAAAATGACCGGCAGCCGGAATCAAAGTTTCCTTTTTCTCAAGTGTTCGTAGCACCTAAAGACACCGGCAAACATACGGAGTTCGTGGAAAACCAAGAAGTGGAGGTTTGCGCGAGAGCGAACGAAAAGGAAGCATGAGGGTGGTGGACAGCAAATATCAAGATGATGCGGGGGGAATTCCTAGTAATTGAATACCTGGAGTGGGACATTTGCTACACAGAAAACGTGCCAAAGGATCGGCTACGTGTCTAAAAGCCCAAGACGCCAATCGACAGGAACACCTTTCACAAGTTTGAAATACCCGTACCTGATGATCTCAAGGAATACGCAAAGGTGGAGAACGCGCACAAAGAGTTCCAGAAGGCGATCGGCGCTGCATTGGTGTTTGTTCGCCGTCATCTCAATGTGCGAGACCTCGCAGCGCCGCACCACTATGCTGCAGGAGATGCACTTCAGAAATCTAACACAAAAGCTGCTATTGTTAAAAAGACTGAAGAGGCAGCTCGACAGTTGGAATCTACAAAAATATATAATAAAGGCAGGTATATGGACGAGTTCAGCGTGCGCGAGGACCTGATGGGGCTGGCCATCGGCACGCACGGCGCCAACATCCGGAATTCGGAATCGTGCTCGTGCTAATTCGGAATCGTGCTTACAATATTTGGACTATTTCAGCTGGAGTAGCCATTCACACTGCTAGGTTTTGTCGGTGTTTACAATTTAAATGGCTGACTTTTAAGACTACAAACAGCTGATGGAATTAAAATAAACTTTAAATTTCAATATCAAAACAAATTGACGGCAAGGCTGTAACAAAAAATCATTCATGATTTTTTTTTTCATATTTGAATAAACTAAATTTTGTTCATGTTAATGGTTGTGCGTGTAGTTTTTTTTTATACGCTCAATATAATAAATTTGATTACTTAACAAAAAATAACGATTAAGAAATTACTTATTTACATGGACGCCTCCCACCTACTTAATAATGAAGACAACTTTAGTAATAAACTATTGGTCATATAATTAACCATCATAAAAAGTTTAACATTTTAAGAAACCGACTTGATAATAAAGCAGCAATAGAGGCGGTAGAAAAAGAAAACGTAATTTTCACTCAATTAAATAAGAATCGAATTAAAAACCATTCAAATCGGAAAGTCGATAACCCACACATTCGAGTACACTTTCAAATCACGCCGTCTTCGTCCGTCCCCATGCATTCCACAACTTGCTCACCCACAGCGGACCGGTCCTCGCGCTTTGTACGAAACTATAGTATGCCTCCGATTTAAATAGTACACTGCTTGGCGCGATATTGAAGTCAAAAGTGGTAATTTTTCTCGGTAGGATAATTCAAAGCGAGGTGCGGTTTCAAGGTGAATCGCCCGGTCAACACACGTTTGATCCGATCGAATGCCTAGACCAAATACTGCCGCGTGCTCTAACTATAAATGTATAATACAAATCTATAGGTACCTACTCCAAATTTTGGGGCGTTACTAACTGTTTTAACGTAAGGTTTTCAAACAATGGGTTCAATATAATTGCTTCATTTTTTAAAGATTTAAACATTGATAAAATTTTACATTACATTTCTTTGTAAACTAAAGCCTCAACATAAATGTCAGTATAGGAGAGGTATCCATGTTCTGCTTACATATTTGAAAAGAAAATGTCAGTACATACAATGTTTTCCATACTGAGATGTGAGGCAAATTATGTCATTATTTCCAGCTCTTCAATAGGCTGTAATGATGCTATAACAAAGCCATGAGGCCGAAGGTAACAATTTTCACGTAAATATAGCTAGGATTAAGCTGGCGGTGTTCAATTTTCTTAGAACGTACATGTAAGACTATTCTACATTTTTTCTAGTTAAACTTTTTTTATATTTACAGTAAGTGTTTTACTGGCATGTGTAGGGTGTAGGTATCCGTTTACTTAAAAAAAGAAGGTGAAGTGAATCATTAAAAGCACTTTAATGAGATCGTTAAATCTTAAGTCTAAAATTTAAACCTTAATTATTGCCAAAAAAATATTCAAGTGAAAATTATTGTAATTACGTATGTTCTCTTTGGTCATCGAGAGCGGGTAGTAACCACAAAATAGTGGGTTACTAAAGCGAAAACAATTTTTAATTAAAAAAAAATTGCATGACGCCAGTCACAATTACAGTTACCGCTTTGTAACCAGTTTCAGTGGAGCGTTTCAAAAGCCTACCCGGGCGTCACTGTCCCTGTGTCAGCCCTGACTTACTTCTGCACGTGCGTAGTTTTATACTTAAAAAACGACATTACTTGTCTGTAAATTAAAGGTCTTTATGGCATTATGCCGGCTTTATTTGGGTACGGTTAAATCTAACCCCAGAGATCGATGTCAATGGAGCGGGCACAATGGGGCCGCGAGCGGCCGTTGACCGAAATAAAAAACAAACATAAGCGACTCCAGTCGTTAGAAGCGGGAACTCGTGATTCGCCATATAATGGGACCAGTTTCTTTCCGATTTGAAAAATGTTATTTCGAAACATCGAACAAAGAGCCCGTTCATGCCTCTCAGTGCGGATTATTAAACCAATTGAATATATACCATTATATTTTTAACTCTATTTTGGTAACGATTGGGCTTATTGTTAGCCTCTTGGGTTAAATTAAACGAAGCTGAAGATAATTATATTAATATATAATATATATATTTTTGAATTGAACACATATTTTGTTGCTTCTAGAGCTCTGTGTTCAAGAGTAGATTGTCGCAGGCTTTGATTTAAAAAACTTGAAGGCAATCTTGTTCGTAAAATTAAGTAATTGTGAAATAATTAAAAATTCTCAACAAGCAAAATATACGATAATGCCACACTGTATGCCATGCGATCCCAATGTTAAGAACGCATTGCGCAAGCACAGCGCGACTGACAATGGAACCGAGCACAACCTACTTGCGCATCGGAGCGGTAACAGCAGATGTAAAAATTGGCCAAGGCAAAGCGAATGCGTTAGTCATCTAGTGCTATATCACCATTTTCCATCGGGTTTGATTGTAAAAAGCAAACGCATTGATATAGCATAGAACTGATACGTAAAGTTTTTTTTAATCAATATTAAGACATTTCATCTAAGTCCTTTAAGATGACAAAGAAATTTTTTTCCATAAAAAACTAAAAATAGAAAAACGAGTACACGGAATACATCGAAACCTATATATTCCTGCAGTGAGAATCAAAATGTAGATGCGTTGCCACCCCTAAGCACTAAGATTGAATACCTCGTTACCAGTAAAACGAACTTCCGGCTTTTACACTCATCATATGAAACAAAGCAACATTAAGCTGCTATCTCACGCTGGTACTGTGAAAACGTGGTCCTTCCCCGGTCGAGCCGACCCATAATATATAATACATATCTAGTACCGATAACATTTCACTAATTTACGAGTATATATCTTTGCAAGAATGTTCCTAATTAGACTTCAAATTACGGATCCACCACCTTGTGAAATACTCTTACAACTATGGCACGTCTGAACACACGATATTTCTTTACAGATAAACGTGGTAAATAAGTACCTACTTACAATTGTTCAACGCTTACTTTCGGTACCCAGAATCGAACTCAGGATGCTCACATACTCATAACTTGTTGACCAACCCACGCAAAATCAGTTAATTCGTGATTAACAAGAACAAGTTTTTGTCTTTGGAATTTGTGAAAAAGAACGTAATAATACATTGGGTGCGTTTGGCAGAAAAAAGCGCTAGCAAGCGCTTATAAGCGCTGAAATAGTTTTCGGCCAAGACACGATTGCTACTTCAGTAGCGCTGACACAATCCGCCATTTTGCTTATTTAATTTGTTTATTTTGAAGTAGAGTTTATTAAGTTGTTTTGTGCAATATTAGTTTTAAGTAATATATTGACATGAATAAACATATACATGTTATTAAAAATTCATGATCAGTAAGTTTTTAATATGAATACTTTACAAATATATATTTAAATTAGGTTAGGTTCCGCGGTTAAAACTAACATCGTGTCCTGGAGGAAAATAGCTACTTACGATTTGACAGCGCTTACCGCTTACGATCGCCATTTTGCTTACAAGCGCTTGCTAGCGCTTTTTTCTGCCAAACGCAGCCATTGTATGGTGGGAGGCGGTTCGATTTAAATATTAGTGAATTTTATGTGTTATTTATGAAGCATTTAAATTATTTATTGCTTAGCAGCAGTAATGGTAGTTTGTTGCAGCCTCTCTATTTCAAATAAGGAGACTTAGTAATGTCATGTTGCAAGAAAATAATCTATATATAGTACTAACTTGCCAGGCAGACGTTGTTCTGCTCTTTTCGAGTACCCTTTGTCATGTCCTATTAAAAACCCTTAAATTCGCAAAAAAAAAATTGTGGGCCACTCATGGGCAAAAAAACTATCCTATCTCTAATGTTTGACCAAACTGCACACGGTGTGCAAATTTGATTAAAATCGGTCAAGTAGTTTAGGAGCCAACGCGGACAAACAACGTGACACGTAATTTATATTCTTGACTTTTCATCTAGAATTTCTTCATTTAAATGCTATTTTCATATTTACAACGTATGTCAAATATCCACATGTCATTTTTTCTGTTGATGTCATCATCAATAATGAAGTAGACTTTTTGGAAATTATCTCGCTTAACAAAATATTAAAATACCAATAAAGAAATATTTTAAAGTCTAATAAAAACTCTAAGAGAAGTTACAAAAAGGTCAGAGATAATCGAATAAAATGGTTTTTAACAGACGTTACACTTTTATCTTAAAACGATTAAGGTTAGTGTTATCATAATAACACAGACTTAGATAAATTTCCATGTAATTACTGGATCAATAAACTGGTTAGTCTAGTCTATTTTTATTCCGTTTTTAACTTTGTATCTAAATATTTTTTCTTAAATAAAATCTAACCGAAAGGAAATAACAGACGTATGTAACCAATATAAAAGGCGCAGTACTATTATAGACGGTCAACTATTGATTGGCCGCTAGACGGCGACGCCGACGAGTAATCCACGGAAGTAGTACCTAATAACTTAATAATGTGAACGTTGTATTGTGACCTATACATCGCTGCCTTTTTACCAACGGCATCGTTTTTAATATATCAGCCTAGAAATACCCCAGCAATGTACATTGCTGTAAGCGAAAATTTATCATATTTAAAGTTTATTTCTTCTGACATAATAAGTAACCTACCGCTTACGACGACGCCTGAATGCGCTACGAACACAGCAGACAAAAACAGCGTGATGAAAATTAGCTCACTTGGCAATACGGATATTATGTTCTTTATTAACATTTCTATTTTTTGTATGATTATCTGTCATAATACTTCCGTCTTCTTGAAAATAGTCCGTAAATCGATAATATAATAAAAGAACATGTGAACTTGGGTAGTTGCCAAGTTTTAATAACCATGCTCTGATTGTTCGTTTTTGTGTTGTCGCCAATAGATTTGGGGGAACCTAGGTGCCACGTGTTAGCAGGAAACTGTGTAAGTAGGAAGCAAGCTATTGATCAGGCGGGGACCGGGGGACCGGGGGGGGGGAGCCGGGGTCTGCGACGACCGGGGGCTGTGGCAGAGGCGCGGCCGTCCGTTTGGGCGG